ATAATTAAAAATAACAATCAGTAAAATAAATAGCAAATAGAGATTTAATTATTAATATTGCATTGTTTACCAACCGTTTGTTGAGTCATTGTCGGAGAGCTTAACTCAAGTATTAAATACTATGATAAAAAAAGATGTTAGACTTACGTATAATGTGATGACATCTTTCTTTTCGAAAAACTTACATAATCCTTTTTTCTATACCCTTCCATTACATATTTGTCGGTAAAATCCAGCTTCCAAAAGATACGATTAGGGTTATCCAATGCGTTTACTCGTGCCGTCTCCTCTTCGACTGAATTCATTTTCTATAGACAATACAAAAGATATTCATAAAAATGAAAAGAAAGAAAAGAAAATCGGTTTAAAAAATACTTGCAGCTTTCTGGTTTATAACGCTAATTATCCAATGAAGAAGAGACACAATAGCATATACGAAAAGCGCAACCGAAATGAAAATAAACCACGAAGTTTCCGGGTAGCTAGAACTATTTGCACTCTTTAATGTTTCTGGTACTCCTATTGCTAGCAGAAGGATCGTAGTCAAAAAATAAAGAAACACATAAACAGCTTTTGGTACCGCGCTTCTTGTTATCGCTTCATTAAATCCATTAATCCTTGTCTCAAATAGTCCTCGCGAGATCTGAAAGATAATGTGATATTGTAAGTCAAAGCTAATTAGGTTAAGTTAGGTTATTATCTTAAACTCACATGTCCTTGAATATCTGGCGAAAATTGCGCTCTAACCACATCTTCTTTAATACGATATTCTCTCCTTATCAAATTCGACATTTTGCAAAAGACAAAATTCGAATTTAAGAAGTTCAACCACAGTTCACAGACGTGGTTTTTATACCTATCATGTTACATCCTCACGAAGTGTAACTACGGATTTTGCTATTATTCATGTATTGTTCTTAGCGAACATTATCACAGCATTGTATCCACTCTTGTACTCTTTGTAGTTCTCGTTACTTAAACGTTTATATTTATTTTGGGTTATATAGTGTTGAAATCAAAAATAAAATATATAATATGATGTGGTAGTTTACAAAGTATAATTCAGTGAGGAATTTTATCTTGATGTCGTATCGGATCGAGTATACAAAGAAGATTTGAAAAATTATCTCGTTTGTAGTCATATACAGTAAATGATACCGAATCACGATCTATGTGTGCGCTTTAGTGTTACATTTCGAACCCTTTATTTGTTCATATTAGTAAAGGTACATCGGGTGGAATAAGTTTGCGTCCGAAATGATCAATGGTAATATTTTCGAATTTTTCCCCCGACCTTATACTACAATTGTGCAACGAATACAGAATAAATAAAAAATAATTTAAAAAATACCTCTTATGTAATGTCAATGTGATAAAATAATCAATCTTTTAAGAATGATTTTTTTCACAAAAATATTGCAAAAACCTTAAACCTATCAAAAACAAAAATTACAAGTGTAATTAATTGATACAAGAAGTTTGATTGCTCCACTGTTAAGTAATCAAAAATAATGAGTAAATATGCAATTAAGCATATAATTAAAATTGTTTTAAAGGTAATTATCTACAGGTCATAGGTAAATTATTAAAAAATTTAACATTATCTTAGTTATTTCAGTCAATGATATACTGTAACTATTTATTACAGTATACACTTTATAAACAACATTATAATGTCAAGTTGAAATTAGAAAACAAAACAAAACAGATAAAAAAAATTAAATAGTATAATAGAAAAAAAAATTAAACAGTTAAATAATAAATCTTAATACTTAATATTTAAAGATAATTTACATAAGTAGATTTGGCAAAATTATATAAAAAATAGAATAAAAAATATTTTTACTTATTGTAAAATCAAATAAAAAAGTTATAGTGATATAGAATTATTTTTTATAAAATATATTTTAATTTTTAATAAAATCTTTAATTAATTAAAAAATATATACAGTATATTTAATTTTGAAAATTATTTTTAAATTTTTTATTAATAATTATTTATAATAACATACTTATATATAATACAAAACTAAATAAAAAAATTAAAATTAAAATTAAAATTAAAATTAATTTAATTTAATTATTTTTATAGTTTGCGTTAGAGCTTCTAACAATATTATTTTAATATTACTTTAATATTATTCAATGCTTAAATTTATTATAAATTTATATAAGTAGACCACAACTCCTATATTAATTTTACTATAAATTGGTACTATTTTAATATTACTTTAATATTAGATTAATACTTTTTGAATTTCTAGTTTATTTAAAATTTAGATTTTAATTTAATTAAACATTTATAAAAGTTTTTTAAAAACAAAATAAAATTAATAATTGTTTAAAAAAAATTTTTTTTTAACTAAATTTAAATATTTTTAATTTATAATCAATAATATACTTTATAAAGTTATTATTATTATTATAATAAAAAATATATATATAACTTGTTATACAGTATATTAAATTTGTTAAATAATTATTAAAATAATTATTTTAAAGTTTACAATTTGTATTTATTATATTTTTTTTAATATTAAATAAAATATGTTTTATATTAAATTTTATTTTTAACTAAAAATATATTAAAAAGAATTTGAAAAAAAGAACTGAAAGTAGTATCTATTAGATAAATAGAATTCTACAAAGGAATTTTTCAAGACCTAACTACCTACAAATATATTTACCATTTAATTTCTATTTTTCTAAAGCTATTCAAAAACATTTAAAAAACCTATCTTACAAATTTATTATCTATAGATTATTTCAGTTATCAATACTTACTATTGTTTTGTTTTTTTGAAATAAATAACTATTGATATAATCTATTATTAAATTGAAATAAGACCTTTTCAGAAATTTGTAAGAAAAGATATTAAATATTACAGAAAGAAAATTACCAAATTATTTTACTGAAAATGAATATCTTATATACTGTATCTTACAACTTTCTGTAACAAATCTATAGAACGTCCGACCAAAATCCTGATTTTCTCCTAAAATCAGAAGACAACCTCTCAAACGCTTTTAAGAAACTATAGGTATTTTGAGTAGAGGAACATCTTTTATTAAGGG